GTTCAACCTTAAAGTCATTTTTTTTTTATGTGACTTTCACTTTTTTTGCAAGCTTGCTCTTCCATATTTCTGTGATTTCATTAAATGTAGAGGTTTGTAAGTTGCCCACTAGAGGGAGCTGTCAGTGACTAGATGCTGTTACTTCTTGTCTCTCTCTTAAAGGCGACTTTTTAGTCATTTTATACTTCTGCATGAAGAAATCCCTGCCATGTCACAAGAAAGGCTCCACCCAGGGGCGGGCTGACAACTCATGGGGCCCCGGCAATAGGGGATCATGGGGCCTCTGTGTCCTTGCCCAAACTCAGTGACCGAGTTTCCAAATGGTCAGTCCGCCCCTGGCTCCACCAAAAAAGCCAACCTTGAGCCCCAATCAGTGACTTTGCCTAAGCTAAGAAGATGTCATCAGTCTACTGCAGGCAGAGGTTTCATTGCTTTTTTGGCCCCTCAAAACCAGCTGCTGTAGTAGGCTTTTCAATTTAAAGCTGACCTCCAGCCTTCTCTTCAGTCTTGCACAGTTGTACCGGCTACTCTCCTGTATTGAAATGGCTTACTCTGATTTCACTGCAAACTGTGAACTTCTCACATTATGCATTAGAAGCTACAGCAAGCCAGATATAGCCTGTCTGATTTCCTGGGCTGGAGGGCATCCAACATCATCCATCATCCAGCATCACATGTGGGTGTTGCTTAGGGTGGTCTGCATGCAAATATGGTCTGCTTAGGAATGCTCACTCCTCCAGGCTGATATCCACCCAGGAAGGCATTTTGATATTTGCATAACTCCTCCCACAAGCCAGCCCATCAGTGCTGAGGGCTCTTACGAGGGTACTGAGGCAGGGTGCTGTGTTTTCATGAAGCTATGTACAACACCCTGCTGGTCCCTCCCATTGCATAGAGAAGCACAGAGAGATCCATCACTAGGATAATATAAAGTATGTAAAGAAAATGGAAAAGCGACTGGTGTGATGTTATTCTCCTTTCACCTTCCACTGTTCACCTGGGACACCTTTGAGACTCCTTTGCTTTCAAGAGCTGCCTAGCCAAAGTTATTGTCCTTCATAGTGTGGACTCACCTTCTGCTTGAAGAACACAATCATTTTCAGATCCAGAGCCTCCCACTTGCATCTTCTGAAGAAATAATTACTCAACATTATTTTACTAGTAAAAAAGGTTTTTGTATCAGTCTGTGTCCCCTCTAAAGAGATTTCCCATCACTCCCTGTCCAGAAATTTAAAGAAAGCTCCCCACTGGGGACATAGATTGGAAATCAAGACAAGAAAGTCAGAATTTTTTTATCCCTTTCTCCATTCTATCCAAAATGAAAAAATTGGATGCAGTTGGACTTTAGGTTTTGAATCTATAGCAGGGAGGATAGTGACATATTTGGCTTCTATGAGTGACTGCAGTTGTCCATTGAGTCTGCCCATTTTTTTTCTGTTTTTTAATTATTGTTTTTTTTTCCGTTAGCTTTTTTGTCTGAGTATAGATCTATGCTTGTCCCAAGCATGTTTGAAGCTATTTACTGTTGACTGGCTCACTACCTCTGCTGGAAGTTTATTCTAAGGATCAACTATTCTTTCAGTAAAATAATACTTTCTGAGATTAGAAAAGTATACAGTACCCGTGTCTTTTAAGTAGCTTTGAAATCGGTGATATTATTATACCTTCCTTGGTTGGAAGGAAGTCCTCCTTAGGACTTTTCTTTTGGGATCCCCCTGTCGACTTGCCTGGGCGTTGGATGCCTTATCCCCCTCCGTAACCCCCACTATGATGCCTGTGGTTTAAGTAACTCCTGAAGAAGCGATATTCTCACGAAACATGTTGAGTCACTATGGGTATTGACATCTGATTCATGTTCCCTGACACCCTTACTGAGACAGTATTTTTGAATGGATCAAGATTTTATGTATCTACGAAATTTGTAACTGCATAGAACGTACCACCCCAATGTGGATCCTACATTCTTAGCAGATGTTTTTATGTACTGTTGCGTACATCCAATAAAGAAATGATTTTAGTGAATATTGTTGCAGTGCCTCTAAAGTCCAAATTTCTGGCCTTCTTCTTTTGGTCAGTCTATACTAACTTTATGAAATTAGTTTTGAACTTTCCTTCAGTTAGTTTAAAAAGTGTGTGTGCATAGGGAATGAGCACCAAGAAGCAGAGCCAGGGATTCAGAATCTAACACAGTGTTTCAAAACCAGCACAAGACCCAGTATGCTCTGGATCAGTGTCATGAGCTTCTGTGATGCAGGTACTGTAGGCCATCACCGGCAAAATAACAATAACAATTAATGACGCTCTGGGGCCAGGACACATTGGGGTTTATTTACTAAAGCTGGAGAGTCCAAAATCAGACTCCCTTCTGCATAGAAACCAATCAGCTTCTAACCTCAGCTTGTTCAATGAAGCTTTGGCAATGAAACCTGGAAGCTGATTGGTTTCTATGCAGAAGGGAGTCTGATTTTGGACTCTCCAGCTTTAGTAAATAAACCCCATTGTGTTATTAGTAGCTTTGATGATAATGGGTTACAGGGGGCTTGCCCGCACCATAGCAAGGTATGACTCTGATCCAGGGCAGGCGGCATGTTGGGTGTCAGAATTCAGGGGAAGATAGAAGTCCACCTCTTCTAGACCTCCTCCCTCTCTGGTCTAAAACTTGTTCTTCCATCTGGGAACTGAAGCACTTGCAATTCATCAGCAATACAATTTTATTCTGCAATGTGTCTCTAGTTATGTTCTGGTTTTATTTGCAAATTGGGCTTTTAAAAAAAACTTATAATCAAACCCCCATACTCCACGCTCAGAAGGTGTTTAGGTAAAACTAAAATACAAATTCAACTCAAAATTCAACTTAACAGTGAGTTGCCACCATAGATAAAAATTAAAACATAAATATCAGAGTAAAAAAAAATTCACCTCTTGGTAGTGCTTTACTATCTTAAATCAATCCATCATACAATATATCACCCAGTGATTGTTGTGTAAAACAAATGTCCACCACTGTGATATCTACTAAAAGTCCAAAACCTAATTCAAACAAATAGTGTTCCATGCATTCATACAAAAATCTTCTACTGTTCTAATCCAGAAGCTGATCCAGATCTCCAGATCACCTCAACCACTGTGCAGTGATTTCCACTCTCCCTAAGACACTGCACTCACCAATTGCATTTACCTCTTATTTAACTGATTGGCAAAAAGCGCATACATCAAGTTTCTTTAGAGCCATTTCTCTTCCATTATACCACCATCAACTCCACATCATTTCCCATAGATGCAAGGGCTATGCTTACCCATTGATGATTGTATCTTAATCGTATAGCTGGTTCCTAAGTACAATCACTGGAGCAACCAAGGGGCAGGCACTTATGCAGAATACAGCAGACTGCTATCTTCCCCGTGGCTTGGGTGTGGTGTTGTAGGCTACACAGACAGCTTGGACGTGACCCCAACTTCCTCTCTCTGACTTTTCCTCAGTAACCAGTGTAACACTACCCCCTTAGGGGCTGCTGGATCTGATTTCGGTCTCCCTATGCTCTGCATGGCCAGGCAACAGAACATTGGATGGGGTCTAGGGGTATATGGGATGCACGAGGAACTGCAGAACCTGAGGACAAACTCCTTAGCAACTATGTACAAAAATGTGGATAGCCTCTTTCCTTGAAGAGCTCCAAAAACTCTTCCTAGCATACCTCCTCAGACCCTGGATTATTACTCCTCTGCACCCAACTGCACTGAGGGTATTCTCTGGGCAAGAGCTGTGAGATGCTAGCTGGATCTTGCAGCTGACTGCCCTCTCCCCTTATCCGGCCCAGAGGGTGTAGGAGTATTCACACTGTCCTCTCCTGTTAGCTTGGTGGGTTGGCGGCTGCCTTCAGGCCTTACACTAGGCTGGCTCCTTCCCTACTGCACTGGCTGTCTTCTCTGGGAGACGTTGAGGCACTGGAGATTCTCTTTTCCAGAGACCTGCCTGTAGGTAGACTCCCCTCCCTGGGGCTCCCTCCCAGGCTCCATATGCTAGCTTTCCTCAATCCATCTTCCACCCAACAATGCACACCTTTCCCAAGCTCTGCCACATTTTAGGGCTGCCCTGGTCACCATGCCCCTGCCAGGGGATTGGCCAAGGTCCCTCAAACATGCAGATCTGGGCCTCCTCCCCACCTCCACCCCTCCTCCAGAAAGCTTTCAGATTTCTAGAAAGGTGGGAGAGCTCCAGAAGCCCTGACCTGATAGAGCCTCCTAGCCTGTACTGAGGTGAACTCCTGCCTCACTCACAGGTTGACTCATCCCAGGCTGCTACTCAGCCTCTGCCTAAAAAAAACAAACAAAAAAAACACAGTTTATCTAGCTAACCTGGAGGGCGTTACACCAATAAATAAGCTATAGGAAATGATGTGGAGTTGATGGCAGTAAAATGAAGGAGCACCAGCTCTAAAGGGACTTGATCTATGCGCTTTTTGCAAATCCATAAAATGAGACAAATTCAGTTGGTGAGTGTGGTATCTTAAAGGGAGTGGAAATCACAGTGAGCATAGTGGTGGAAGTGATCTGGCGATCTGGATCGACTTCTGGATTGGAGTACAAGAAGATTGTTTTATGAATGCATGTGACAATATTTGTTTGAATTTGTTTTTGGACGTTTAATAGATATCACAGTGGTGGACATTTGTTTTACACAACAATCACTGGGTGATATATTATATGCTGGATTGATTTAAGATTGTGAAGGGGTGAATTTTTATTTACTCTGTTATTTATGTTTTTAAAAATCTTATTGTGTATTTTTTGAACAAACAGTTTACATATAAATCAATGGTAAGGCACATAAAAAAACCTGAAAGGTAAGGAGGGTGGGGAACGTAACTACAAACTAAATATGGATAACTAAGGGTTAATGATGGTGTAAACAGAAACACCCTGATTTTTTAACAGTTGCAGTTTTAGTGGAACTGACATTATGTGCAAATTAAATTATAATATTTTGATTTGTACATAAGTGCTAATGTACGAATGAAGGCTGCAACCAGGGGCGGACTGACAACTCATGGGGCCCCCGGGCAATAGTGGATCATGGGGCCACTGTGTCCTTGCCCACACTCAAAGAACACCCAAAAAAGCCTATAAAAAAGGTACCAGGGGCATTTCATGGGGCCCCCTACTGACCCCGGGCCCTTGGGCAGTGCCCGAGTACTCGATTGGTTAGTCCGCCCCTGGCTGCAACTTTTTTATAGTCTTCCTTCATACAGTATCTGCTCTCAGTGATCCTGATAAATAGAATAGGATCTGCTGTTATTTTTAATGGGCTGCCAACGCACCTAAAACTTGGCAACATTGTGCTACACAATCCATAGTAGTACATTACTGTGCATTGCAGTGTCCTGCAACACAATTGTCTTAGTGCATTAAAAAGCCATCCGAAAGGAATGGTGCCAAAACACACTAGGACAAACATACGGTGGGACTATCCATTGCAATAATGCACACAGCAATGCATGCATTACCATAACACAGAGGTGTGTAAATGCCTTATCATAAACAACCCCTACTGTATGTAGAAGTGAAACGTTATTTCCTCTGGAAACAAGGAGTACCCCTTTGTCTTTTACGATAATCTTCAGCTGAAGGATTTTCAAGTGGCCAACTGCATTGTAGTGATCCCTCTCTGGCTTCTCGAGTGGCAAAATGACAAACACTCACTTGCCTATAGTTTTGTTGGGAATATAGTGCAATTTGTGGCAGACAGTTGGCGGAGAGCTACAGACTGAGGTCTGGCCACCGGCTTGCACAGTAGAGTAGGTACTGTCCAGAAAGGGATTACCTTATTGCAGATGCAAAGCTTTAACATGTATTGCAATATATGCAAACCAATAGTCCCTCTTTTTATGTAAACATTTGCTAAAAATATGTAGAAAGGTGTACTCCAGAATTGTCAGTGTTATTATGTGGTCACATCCCTTTAACATCTCATATATGTATACCAGTGGTCTCCAAACTGCGGCCAGTGGGCCAGATGCAGCCTTTTCTTTGCTTTTTTCTGGCCCTTGGGGCATTATTTCTCAAGGCACTTTTCCTCACATTGACACCAATGATGAGGCACTATTCCTAACACTGACACCAAAAACAGGGCATTATTCCTGCCACTGATACCAATGGTAGGGCACTATTCCTCCTACTGACACCAATAGTATGGCATTATTCCTCCCATTGACACCAATGATGGGGCACTCTTCTTTCCACTGGCACCAATAATGTGACATTATTCCTCCCATTGATATCAAAAAAGAGACGCTCTTCCTCCCATTGATACCAACAATGGAATACTATTCATCCCAATGATATCAACAATGGGGCACTTTTCCTCCCACTGAAACTAATAATGTTGCATTATTCTTCCCAATGACAGCAATATTGTGGCACTATTCCTCCCACTGACACTAACAATGGGGTATTATTCATCCCACTGATATCAACAATTGAGCACTCTTCCTTCCATTGAGACCAATAATGTAGCATTATTCCTTCCACTGATACCAACAATGGAGTACTATTCATCCCACTGATACCAACAATGGGGAGCTATTCCTCCCACTGACACCAATAATGGGGCATTATTCATTCCACTGATACAAACAATGGGGAACTATTCGTCCCACTGATACCAACAATGGGGCACTATTCCTCCCACTAACACCAATAATGTGGCATTATTCATCCCACTGATTCTAACAATGGGGCACTATTCCTGCCACTGATACAAACAATAGGGAAATATTCATCCCACTGAAACAAATGATGATACATTGTTTCCTCCCATTAACACAAGGGCATTTTCTACACCAACTGGCCACAGTCCAGCCCCCCTAAAGTTTGAAGGATGGTAAACTGGCACTTTGTTTAGAAAGATTGGATACCCCTGATGTATCTGTAAGCCATTTGAATTTGGGCTCAGACCTCTTTTCATTTTTATTGCATATTCTCAGCTGTGTCTCTCTGCCCCATATTGGTACTGTATGTCCATTAAAGCAGTATTTTTAAACCTGTTTTTAGTCAAGGCACCCTTTAGAACTGTGCACAATTCCGGGGCACACCAGTCTGAGGGCTCATTCACGCCAAGAGGTACTTCTGAGCACATGCTTTTTGCAGATGTCTAATTTTTTAATGTTCAGGGATCTTAGGATTTAACTCTTTTCCCTCCAAATTCCCCCTTCTGGGCACAAAACCCTTGCTCCTAGCACACCCCTGAAATTCCCCCTTCTAGCACAAATCCCCCCTCCTAGCACAACTTTCTCTCTCTTTGCAGACTTCCAACCAAGTAGTGCTCAGACCAGAATGTGGCCATTCTGGCACCCCTGAGGGCTCTTTGTGGCACCCCGATTGAAAAACCATGCATTAAAGTATACTATAAGCAAGTAAGCATTTGAGATTTTGCACTTTAGAGTAGTAGGGAATGGCCAGAGATTTATCACTTGGATGTAATTGGCCAGCTTGAACATGCTATGTATTGCAATGTATGTGAAGCAAGAGCAAAGGTTTGTTAGAAATATGTAAGGGTGTTTAGCAGTGTGCAGAGAGTACTAGTAGAGGTCTACAAAAACAGACCAGTGCCCACCTTCCCTTCAGTGTTACTACATGGAACTGTCTGAAACTGGCCTAATTTTATAGGATTTTGGATTTCCCCTTTAAAAATGAGTTCCCATCCACACTTTTCTCTTTACCCGCTTGCTCTACTTTGCTCATTTAATTCAGTTAAGTTTCAAAATGACATATTATAACATTAATTAGACCGACGAGGGTCACCCACGCTACGTGACTAGTTTTCATACAGGCTTCCTTAATCGCTGTCTAATTACTCTGTATTCCATCTGTTCCATCTAAAACAAACCTAACTTTTATTAATGGTGATATTACAATGTTGGCTAGGATCGCTTGTTTGCATTTCTAGTCTGTTTTGTGTGTTAAGTAAAACCTTCGGAAGTGATATTACTGTAGCAAAGACCTGATTTATGGAAGGACTCTGCGTTATCAAAAGTTTAAGCGCAACCACAGTTTTGAAAATAAAGAATATCCTTATTTTTTTTTTTGTCCTTGGACAAAAGAAATGACAATAATATGTAAGAGTGGGACCAACAGCAGGACTGTTTCAAAGCAGCAAATGAAAATCTAACAAGTCTGATTTGCTGAGGCTTGGGGTCAGTAGATCACATGTCACTCCACTAGATGTGAGCACAAGCAATATTCTGAGAGCCTCTTCTACTGACTTATTCCTGACACCAAAGTCCTCAAGAAGAAATGCCACTGGTGCTTCTGGTGTAGTGTCTGACACATAGGTGCCAACCATTCTCCAGCTCTGGAAAAAGCTTTTTCTACTCAACTTCCAGTTTCTACTGCCAAAGCCTGTTGGCAGGATTGCTGCTGCCACTTTTTTAAATTAGACCTGATCTCAAAAAGTGAAGATTTGCTATCTTTTGAAGAACAATTAGAACCAGCAGTGTAGTCTAACCAGTACTCTAAAATATGTATTTTTTTCTTTGTATAACTCCTGAAAAATAGCCCTTCCGTTCACTAGGCATTTCCTGTGCCTTGAGCTGTATATCTGCAGCGTGAGGTACTCTAAGATGTTGCTGCTTCTGACTGCTAGTCTTGCCAGATTTGGAGTAAGATTTGGTGATGGCACTACAATGCTTCTCACTGTTTTCCTTGATGGAGAGGAAGTTATTCCTATGGTCCTGCAATGCAAGGATCTCCGTGCTTCTGCTTCATCCATGTTGTGAATCTGTGCTTCTTCTGCCCCTATCATTAGGCCACCAGCCATCATATCACCAGTCATCAGGCAGGCTGTTCTGACATGAGGTAGTCCTGCCTCTACTATGGTGACAGCATCCACACAGAGTAAGACATGGTGAGTCAGTGATGGGACAAAAGATCAGCAGCAGGAAGTCCGCAGACAATACTGATGACTAGTCCTTGCCCTCTGCTTGTCTTTTTGTACCAAATTAATGGCTAGGTTGCATTGACTGCTGCCCCCAAAGTAATGTTCCCCTTTTGTCCCATCCTAATTGTTTCCGACAAAAACATGAGGAGATCAGGATTGTTCTGACCTGCGGAAAGCTGTGGAAACACTGTTCTGCCAAATGAATCTTAGGTATATATTTTTAGCACTTATCAGATTTGTTAAACAAAATTAGACACTGGTGGAAATTTACAAAGGAGCAGAGTAATCAGATGCTTGAGCATTGAAAATCCAAACATAACTTTCTTTCCAGAGTATTGTCATCAAAACACTTTTTGGCTTTGTTTTAGTACCATATATACCCCAGGCATTTTGTATACCTACAAAATGGAGAAAAGCATCAAGCTACAAATAGGTCACCATATTCACATTCTGTTTCTAGTGGTTGAATTCAGGGCAATCAAAAGAGAGTATACAGTATGTGCTCATTTACTTCAAATTATGTGCTCAGGTTAATGGGTGATACCGTCATGTGTTCTTCTACTGTCTGTTCTGTACACCCATACATAATATCAATCAGCTTAGTACAGGTCAAAACAGTCACAAAATAGTTGTATTTCAGTACCATTTATTTATCTCACGACACAAGGTTCAGCTCATTCCATGACACATTTGCCAGCATCCTTCCAGCAGTGAATAACAATTGTCAATAGAAAAGCTTAGGGCAACTGCCACCTTAAACCAATTGAACTAGAAGTGGTGTCAGCACTATAAGGCATGATCTCTCTATGGGAATGCTTAACATATCCAGGGATGGCAATTCAGGAAGTTTAGTCCACTTGCCCCATACATTTTATAAAATATCAGGAACAGAGGTGGACTGACAACTCATGGGGCCACCGGGAAATAGGGGATCATGGGGCCCCTGTGTCCTTGACCAAACTCAAAAAAGCCTATGAAAAAAAGGTACCAGGGGCATCTCATGAGGCCCCCTACTGCCCCCAGGCCCTCAGGCAGTGCCCAAGTTTCCAAATGGTCATTCCGCCCCTGATCAGGAATAAGCCTGTAGGTGAGGCCTCAGGCAGGTACCCACTCAGGAAGAATCCAAATCACACAACAACTCTTCAACTCCCTCCTCACCGGCCTACCCCAGTGCAAGCTCTCCCCGCTTCAGATCATCCTGAACTCAGCGGCTAGACCAGGGGTGGGCAAACTTTTTGACTTGAGGGCCGCAATGGGTTCATATA